GCATCATTTGATGTGTTTGAAGAATTACTAGTAATAGAAGACAGTAAGTGCTTACTATACATAATACTTTTAGATGTTTTATCTTGTTTATTTATTAGAATGACAATGCAATGTCATCACCAATATGAACCCCATTTCACAGGTGATGAAACAGAGGAAGAAGGAACTTAAGTAACTTGTACGAGATCGTCCGACCAGAAGTGGCAATACTTGACTGGTCACCTTGTCTGTCTGTAGAATCCAAGCTCCAAACCACTGTGTGTTATACTGTCTGTTGGATCCATATTTTTAGCAATTGGACTTCTCTACTAACCTTGAAACTCAAGTCCAAATTAACTTATAGTCTTCTCTTCTTCCACCTTTCCTTTTTTTACAGAAGGGCACACTTATCCACCCAGTTATCCAGAAAGTGGGATATCATCCTCATCTTCTCTCTACTACCCAATTCAGTCAAAAATCCCCTCAAATTTAATGTCTGATGTCTAAATATATTTGAAGAAGATCTGTTTCTGTAAACCTTCATTTCTCACTAGAATTGCTGCCTTAACACCCTCGTTTAACTTGCTTGGTCTCCCCGTGCCACCTCCCCATTTCCAGTCCATTTTCCATATTGTCACCAGAATGACCATTCTAGAAATGTGGCCATATCACTCCTCCTCTTAAAAAATATGTAAGTTTTTTCTCATTACACTTAAGGTACAATTCAAAATTGTTGACATGATTTCAAAATGGGTTCATTGTATGTCCTGTTTTTCCTGGAGCTGTCCCAATTTTCACCCTTGTTTTTCAGTGTAATTCTTGATAACATCGTTTTTCTTCTCAAGTGTCCTGGAACTTTAACATCTAATTCCTGGCTTCTGTTCCAGCCTCACTTCTGACCTGTTCTTCCAGCCCGTACACTCACACTCAATGCTGTATTCAAACAGAATTGCTTATAGCTCCTCAAGTCTTTTAAGCTTTATTCCTATCCAGCTTCTAGCATATGCTGAACCTTTTGTTTATAACTTTCTGCTTAACACCTGCCCTTCCCAAATTTACTGGCTAATTTCTACTCATATTTGCGTCTCCAGTTAGACATCACTTCTAATTCAGTCTCTCGACTTTTCCACCAGAAGACTACGGTAGACGCCCTTCCTACGTGCTACCCAAGCATCTACCCCTGTTTTGTTGCATATTCTCACCCCGGTGTCTTCCCTATTTGTTTTTGGTATCATTCACAGTTTGTGAGTTCTTGTAGGCAAGGAAAGTATCCATATTTGTTTACTAGTGCCTGGTCCATATTCAATGCATAATAATTCTATATTAACAGAATTTATGAGTTCTATACAGGAATTCTGTATGCCTAGCACTAAGGATAATGCCCTATGTAGAGTAGACTTGTCAACACGTATTTGTTAACTGACTAATTTAGTAAATAAATGAATGAGTTAATGTTTGATTGGAACCTTTAATAATGAATGACTTATAAAATGATACTTATCAATAGGTTTCAGATGTGTGGAAAAAGGAAGAGAGTACCTTTCCTTCAGTGTAAGCCCTGAAGGTAAAAGAATATTTCTGTATTTGGAAAATACAGTGTATGAAAATGTAACTGAACCAAAATTTTTTTAAATTAAATGTGCTACGTAATGTAATTTAACTGAAGCATCTATGTAAATGTAGGTATATAATAAAAGAGAACATTTGACATATTGGTTAAACCTTTATTAAAATTAGAGAACAACCCACTGGATTTAGGAAATGTATCTTTTCCGTCAGTAAATCATTGAGCAGGGATAATGTGAGTGAAAGAAACTGCTATATGCCAAAGATCACCCTGCCTCTGATCCACTGAGCTTACCATACACTCAAGTTTTTGTCAGGAAATTCTTAGGACAAGCTCTTTTCATGAGGATATGTTGCTTTTTCACAGAAATCTTGCCTTTGAGTTCTCCAGGCATGTATTCCGCAAGAAAGTCTGAATCTTAGAGTAAACTGATTTTAGATTTATGAACAAAAATTTACATTATTGCAATTGTTTGTATATGAATTGGCAGCATCGTGTTGGATGACTGGGTGTTACAAAAGACTAGAGGTTGGCAAATTAATAGTCGGTTTAAGCCCCAGCAAGTACTGTAGCAGTAGGATGCAAAGGGGGAATAATTCTAAGGATAAATGCTGGAGTTTGGAAGTTTAATAGATGGACTGGGGAGAGGGATGCGGAGATGGTGGTCAGAGATTCTCTGATTGACTAGTCAGTACCTTTGATTAACTAGTTAGGTGATTATTCAGCATGATGAGAAATTCATTTTAGTAAAGCATGAGGTTATGTTTACAGAAAGATATTCATGATCAAAGTTCATATGGTATTGTATAGACATGCTTTGTAGTGAACTATAGTAGCAGTAATTTCTGTACATGACCAAGGGTTTATTGCAGCATTTCTTGTCCTGTTCTCTCTTTTTTTTTAAGGGTAGTATTAACCAATGACAGGAGTAGAAAAGTCAACATACAGATGTTAGAAGGAGAACTTACAGGACACAGATTTGTGACGCTTTGAATGCAGCACTTTGGATGTGATTCTAAAAGCTTTTATTGAGCGTTGTCAAATGTGTAAGCTTCACAGGGATGGACATCATATTTATAAATGCCCTTCTATAAGTGCTACCATAGATGTGAAATTCCTAACCTTAATATCGTCTTTGAAAATGTTAAATTGAGAATTCTGTTGACTTACGTTTTAAGAATTGGCGTACTGTATTACTGCAAGAGATTTGATTTTCAGCACAGTGCAACCTTCTTTCAAATGCATATGTCTTTTTTTCTAATTCCATTTTGTTTTAAAACACATTTTAAATGTAGTTTTCTCATTTAGTAAAAGTTGTCTAATTGGAAAAAAAAAAAAAACTATTCAGGCTGATAGCTGTAACTGAACTTTGGGAAAGATGTGAACGCTAATGTATGGGTTTAGAAGTCCTAAGATGAGATATTTAAAGCCAAAAACTAGACGGTTTCACACTGAGAGAGCAGAGGAGAGGCCAGAGTTGGAATCATGTTCTAATCACTAAATTATGGCTTTTCTCAGTCTTCCTCCGACTTGATTTTTGAACAGTATTTGAGACCACATCTTCCTCTACAGCTGGAACGTGCTCAGTGTGTCCGGCTCCTCGGATCTCCGTCTGTGCAGCCACTGCGCACTCCCTGCCTCCCACCCACCCCAGCCCCACGTATGATCACCTTGGGAACATTCTCCTGTGCCTCTCCATCGCCGCCACCCGACCACCACGACTCTCTGAGTCTAACCATGAACAAATTAATTCCCTGTCTAGTTCCACTGCAGCTAAGTCTGCATCAAATAATAATAAAAAAAAGAACAAAACTTGATTTAAAAATTTTAAGGGACGAGAAAACATGCAAAAGCATAAAATCGTGCTTTGCCATGTGTCCCAAGCCCCTTGTTAGCTAGAGGAGTGAACAATGAACAGAGATGATGGTCCTTGGCTTAGAAGATCCCAGGCAGGTAACAGAGATCCCGTCGCCAAGTTCTGGGAAAGAAGACCCTGAATGAGCCGTGTGCAGAGCCCAGCAGTCTTGCTGTTTCCCACCTGACCTCGTGACAGATGCTGGACTTCAGATTCTTAGGGTCTCGGCACTTTATTTTGGCTACTTGCTTTAACATGGGCTGAAGATCTATGGTTTTGGCAGTACACCTTAAGAACCAGATGTGGCCCCCAATTCACAGGAAAGCCTGCCTATCCCTGCAAGAAGACAGCTCATTCCAGGCATCTCCTAACCACCAAGGTGGTTCAAATGAAGCATTTTTGACACCAAGCCTAGTAAATCAGAGACTGCGTTGTGATGTAATGGACACGGACACCAAGGGGGCACCACTTGCGTATCCCTCCTTCTGTCTACATCTCAAGTGAGGATGTCCTTATAGTCTGGATGGGCCTAGATGTGGTGGAATAACTCCTGTTTCTCCCTGAAAGGTTTGATTCTGAGCACCAGCCTCATCTGTCTGTCCAGGGGAAGCCCAGGGGTCAAGTCTCTCTAGTACCATCATGACAGCAAGCAGCAGCAGTGGCCCCCGTCCTCTCCAAGACCCCTTCCTTCAGCAATGCTCCCTCCCCTCCATTCTTAAAAAGGGGGACCCAGAGACGTCCCCTCCCTTGAGATCTCCCAAATTTGCTACATTAGAAACAGGGGCTTCCTCCCATTGCCTCTGAGAGCGAGGGGTGATTTTTTTATTGGCTTGGCTGTGTCTTGTATGTCTTGTTAAATGGAAGTTGGCAGCAAAAGAAACGAACATTTTTGGGGTTACCACTTAAGTACAAGGTTAAGTTTCATTCTTAAGAAATTCCTTCCAATCTTACACAAACATCGGGTCTTAGGCCTTCATTTATTAGCAGGCACTAATAGCAACAGAATTTTTCAAAAGAAAGCCTCATCCACCGTAATACACACGCAAACACACACACTTTTTTTGTCACTTACAGAAGCTTAGCTGGAGATTGGTATGGTTGGCACAACTTTAAAGGCAGATGGGTAAATTAAAACTCGAATGACAGAAAGCTAGGAACCACTGGTTGTGATCGCCCTTACTTGCCTATGTTTTTTGTCCTCACATATGAGAATATTCAAAAGCAGATATTCTAGATGTTAGGATACATTATGTGGCTTTAGGTTTTTTTATATTTGATGAAATAATGTTATTATGTGTGTTCCTTTTATTAATGTCACTTCAAATCCTGTTCAGAAATAGGTACTAAGAGTAAATAAATGTTTAATGTATGAAAGGATTAAGCTTTCTTTACTATTGGGTATTTTTAACCAGGAAAACTTGGTTATGAAAAGTAAAGGGACATTAAAAATACAATTAAAAGTGAAGTCATGACACATTCATAGTTAAGAACCACGTGATAAAAATGGCTTTCTTCACGTATGTTAGGAAAATTTAAGTAAGTAGAAAAGCATAAAATAGAGAATGCTCACAAATTTTTCTTTTTCAAATTTCTGAACAGAAAGAAAGAGAGCGAGGTTCTAATTTGGCCTTTATGTTCCGACTGCCTTTTGCTGCCGGGAGGGTGTTCAGTATCAGCATGTTGGACACGCTTCTTTACCAGGTATGCAGTGTTTCTTGTTTCTGTCTAAAATGTTTATTTTCTATTTTCTTTAGATTCTATCAAACGCATAATACAACTAGTGTTTCTCTTGGAGCTGTTAACTGAAAATTGGCTCTGGAAGTAATCCAATATTTTACTTCATGTATTTAATGACATAAATGTGCCTATGAAACACACTGTAAGAAAAAGTTATTTTTCAGAATAATCTATGAAGTGATATCAGGCATTCTATGACACCAGTGTCCTACAATGTTTAATGTGACATTTTAATACATTTTGCATATTCCTCTAAGCACATTACTAGACAATAAAAGCTAAGGAAGAATTACTAGGTTAAAAAAAAGACAGCTTTCTTTCTAATACATATTTTTTTAGTAAGTAATAGCAAATGATGTCAATAAACTGATAAACCAAGGACATTTTAGACATCTGCTAATTATTGCCTACTTCAGAAAAACGTAAGGAAGATTTTACAACCACTAAGAACCATTCGGTTTGTTCCTGAATGCCAGAGTTTTACATTGTCATTTTATCATTCTTAACTTTAGCTAAGAAGTTCATAGAGATTTTATTTTACACTAAAATATTTTAATCTTTTTTTAACTCTGTCAGAAACTGAACAAAAGCAATATTTCATACTCTCTGAATCAAGTAATCAGATACTTTTAAAATATATCCATTAAGAGAAAAAAGATATTCATAAGGCTTTAAGTTATTTGATAACTTTAATCTCAAATTAAGCATTCAAGCATTGTGTTGTCTTTTTTGATCGTGTATTTTATGTACCCTCTTCCTCCATGCTTGGCTGAATAAACTAATCCAAAGAGAGTTAAGGCTTTTCTACTGGCCTCTGGGCTAATTATGCCTATGACTATATCTCTGGCCGTGTTTCAAACCATCTGCTTATGCCAGATGAATGCGGGAACAACACAGTAAAGAACCATAAACACTCCTGTTCTCCCGAAAGTTTCCAGACACATTATCTGGGTACTCCGGAAGCCAGGCTTCTACCCCAGACCCCATTGCCAGGCACACGTAATTCTGATCTCTCAAAGAGGGGGTTCAAGGGAGCGATTGTTTGAAGAGAAGTGTTGCCTCTGAGGGGATTTATATCCATAGCAGTCAAATGCTTGCTGTCATTATGCACCAGTGGTTTTCAGATATTTTAGCCACAGTACCTTATGTTTAAACGAAATCTCATGAGAAAGTCTTTGATATATAAGCTAAGTAGAAGGAAAACCATTCTGTAGAATTGGAGAGCAGTAGTTATTACTTTCCTTTCATTTTTGTTTCACTTTTTTTGTTACACATAGAAATACAGGAAATTGTGTTTTTTCCAAAGCTAGCAGCTGCAGAAAGAATGAACTAGAACAATAATTTTCGAAGTAGTAATTGCCCATTTACTTTCTGATGTCAAATGAGATATTTTAATGGTAGGTTTTGCAGACAGGTAAAGAGTATTTATTTACAGGTTAAAAAGAGATTAGAAATTTAAAATATTTTATTCTCTAAAATTATATACCATGCATTCTTCTATTCTTAAAATATACAATCTAATTGTTTTGGTTAATGATTTAAACCCATCTTCTTAAAGATAAATGCTTATATATTCAAGAACTATTATAGATGACTACAATTTTATAGTGATTTACTATTAATGTAATTCTATTCTAGACCTCATTTTATTTGCTTCCCCAAGGAAAACTGTAAGATAAGCAGTATTATCAATCATAATATATGGATGAGACAAGGGCTCAGGAAGGTCAACTGTCCAGTGTTCAGTGGGAATACTCATCTTCAAGCCATGCATACCTCATTAGATTACTCCCGACCCTTTTCCTGTGGTAAATGACTCTGCATTTGTATAATGCTTGAGTTTGTTTGCTTGTTTGGTTGGGTTTTATTATATCCCACTTGAAACACAGATCGCTTTCATATTTTTAATCATTTTTATTAATTCTTATCTGTGTAGATCAGGAAAGCCAATTATTAAAAAAGTTATTACCTAAAATAAAATTAAATAGATATGAAAAAAATCTTCTATGAAAAATGTTCTATGATTGCATCACATAAGACTTAATGCATGGATTTTGTGATATTAAATGGGGCTATCCACATTTTTGGCTCACATCTAACTCTAGTCTATGCCCTGATGAAGTTACAGGACAGATGACCTCTGGACAAAGAATGTGTTGATGAAGAATACAGTAAACATTAGCTATATTGCCACATCTGGCTCTAAAATAATTTAAAATAGTCATTTGCCAAATCTTCAGTTTAATTTCTCTTCCATGAGTGCTTTCTGTTTTTTATTTTGGAAATAATAATTTTAAGTGCCCAAGAATTTGTTTAAAATTTTTCTTTAGCACACACTGAGTTACAAATGAGATTGAATGATGCTAACAGGGGTGCGTGTCACAGCTCCTCTTGGTGGCCCCAATACGTTCATGTCCTAATTACTAGGAGGTTAATACGCCTTGAAAACCAAAGGGCCATTTAAATAAATGGCCTGAAAAAAATGGAATAGATGTGTTTCCTTATGTTCTTTTTTAGATGGGTTTATTTTTTTGAAACTAGCTCTTGGTAAAAGAAATTAGCAATCAACAAAGTAGTCTAGATGATTTATTTAAAAGGTGTTATAGGGCTTCCCTGGTGGCGCAGTGGTTGAGTCCGCCTGCCGATGCAGGGGACACGGGTTCGTCCTCCGGTCCGGGGGGATCCCACATGCCGCGGAGCGGCTGGACCCGTGAGCCATGGCCGCTGAGCCTGCGCGTCCGGAGCCTGTGCTCTGCGACGGGAGAGGCCACAGCGGTGGGAGGCCCGTGTACCGCAAAAAAAAAAAAAAAAAGGTGTTATAACTTTTAAAGTCTTTGCTATACAAAATAACTAGATGATTTATTGTTATTATTTTTTTATTGAAGTATAGTTGATTTACAATGTTGGGCTAATGTCTGCTGTATAGCAAGTGACTCAATTATAAACATATATACATTCTTTTTCTAATATTCTTTTCCATTATGGTTTATCCCAGGAGATTGGGTATAGTTCCCTGTGCTATACAGTAGGACCTTGTTGTTTATTCATTTTAAATGTAATAGTTTGCATCTACTAGCCCATCCCTCCCCCTTGGCAACCACAAGTCTGTTCTCTATGTCTAGGAGTCTGTTTCTGTTTTGTAGATAGGTTCATTTGTGCCATATTTTAGATTCCACATATAAGCAATGTCATATGGTATTTGTCTTTCTCTTTCTGACTTACTTCACTTAGTGTGATAATCTCTATATGAATGGATAAAGAATATGTGGTACATATATACAATGGAATACTACTCAGCCATTAAAAAACCACAAAATAATGCCATTTGCAGCAACAAGGGTGCAAAATACCTAGATGATTATTTAAATGTTTCACTTGTTAACACCTGACGATCAAACTCAAGGCAGTAATTTCATACGATTTATGAAGTAATTGTTACATATCATGGTGAAATTTGCTTGTATGGGTTGAAAGTCTATCTTCTCACTCAGACCAAAAAATAAACTGAAGAAACTAGAAGCATTTTTCAGTTAATATTCTAACTATTGAGCAGTGTTCTAACAACATGTCAAAATATATGTTAGCAAACAAAATAGTCTCATGATGGTATTTAATACTAACCTATCGGGCTTCCTTGGTGGCGCAGTGGTTGAGAATCTGCCTGCCAATGCAGGGGACATGGGTTCAAGCCCTGGTCTGGGAAGATCCCACATGCCGCGGAGCAACTGGGCCCATGAGCCACAGCTACTGAGCCTGTGCGTCTGGAGCCTGTGCTCCACAACGAGAGGCCACGATAGTGAGAGGCCTGTGCACCGCGATGAAGAGTGGCCCCCGCTCGCCGCAACTAGAGAAAGCCCTCGCACAGAAACGAAGACCCAACACAGCCAAAAATAAATAAATAAATAAATTTATTAAAAAAAAAATACTAACCTATTAATTCACTAATATTTAGATTTACTTAAATATTATATAGAAATGTATTCTACTAGCATCAAGTTTAATCCTAACAAAAAACCAAATACCGTTTGAAATATTTCATTGTAAATTTTAGTCATTTTAGATTTTTTAAAACATTCTCTATTATATTTCGGCTTATAGTTTTTGTTATTAAAAATCTAAAAATGTTTTCATCATGTCCAATAGCATCCATAAAATTTAAGCATATCCAGATATTCTAGAAAATAATCATTTCCCATATTTCTTTAAGGACAGCTTAACTGTACATGTGTATTGAGGACACTGGCAAGATAGATTTTTATTTCCTTTTTTATGGGGGCTTAATGATGTGTTACAAGAAATAACCCTTAAGATGTGATAAGGTGTTCATGCTCTAAGCTATTCTATGTATTTCCTACACACAATAAATACATATTTTGTTTATATTGCAGTCATTTGTGAAGGACTACATGATTTCTATCACCAGACTTCTGTTGGGATTGGACACTACACCAGGATCGGGGTTTCTTTGCTCTGTAAGTTACTAATCTCTGGTGTAGATTATTCTGACAGGCAATTCTGAAAGCCATCTATAATGTACTTTGGCTAACTCTTCTATGTCATTTATTTATTTTTTTCTAATATGTGCTCAAAGAATAGCATCCTAGTTTTTTTTAATCCCTTAAACAATGTTTAGGGAAAACATTATTTAAATTAATAATCCCGAAGATAGCCATTCTGTACAAAATTCAGAACAAAAATGATCCTGAAGGTAGCCGTTCTGTACAAAATTCTGGCAGGTATTTGAGACTGACAGTTTCTGACATAGGATGCTACACTGCCAAGGTAAACAGCGATCATGACATTTAACCTCTCTGTTTTATAAATAAGTATACTGTGCCTAAGTGTATTTAATGAAGTGTCTTGCTAACAAATTCAAATTCATGTTTAGCAAAGAGAGACCAGCACTTATGCCTCCTGTCTGTGAGTCCTGTGCTCCATACTTTTACACATCTTCCTCAGTATGGGTACTAGTAGAACTTTGGATGGACAATTCGTTTTTGTGCTGGACTGTCCTTTGCACTTCAAGATTTGTAACATCAGCAGACACTGTCCACTAAGGTTATTGCAACATTCAAACGAGTCTTTACAGGTTTTCCAACAATTCCCAATCAATTACCAGTGATATTCCAAGTATATGGGACTAATACAGTGCCATGCTGCCACAAATGGAGCAGTTGGTTTCTTAAGTTTGGGTGAACCCAGGGATAAGGCTGAGATGGAATATAATAAAAAACTTTAATACATGTATAAGCACTTATGAATGCCACTTTGAGATTTCAAAATATCAATAAAATCTACCTTTAAAGAGTGAAAAATTACCATTGGGTTATTTCTTAAAAATTTGATATGTAAATAATTCATCTGATTGTAGATGAAAATCACCGAGGATGACTTATGGATCAGGACTTATGCCAGACTGTATCAGAAGTTATGTTCTTCTACTGGAGATGTTCCCATTGGAATCTACAGGACTGAATCTCAAAAACTTACTACATCTGAGGTTTGGAAATATCAAAATATTCCTGTCTTAATGTTTAATCTTATTGAATACTGCCATTCCTAAGCCTATAAACTTATTTCTGAAATATGTCATTAAATTATGTAAATTATGTCAGGAATTTCATAAAATAATGTTGTCTAAAGGACTGTTTTAGAGTTTGTGGACTTTGGGCTCTGAATGTCTTTTGTAGGTTTTCAGGAAGTAAGTTAATTCTAAGTAACCTTTGGATACATAAGAAAAGTTCTCAGGGCAAGCAAACTAGTTTTCTAATATAATCTTCAACTCCACATATTAGCATTTGGAAAGAGGGAAAACAAAGATGAGTTAAGAAGCATGAAACTCACATTTTTCAAACTCTAGGTTGAGGACTACTTTGAAGCTAAGAAAAAACTCTAGGATCAGTGCCAGACCCTCCGAGAGGAAAGCTCAGTAATTATAAAAGCAAACTAGAGTCTATGAAAATGGAACAGAATTTCTGATGCCTGCGTGTGACCAAAAACATATTCACATTTTAATTTGGTCACACTATGTGGTTCCAACTTATGGTTTATATTCTTGAAAGATTTTTTTTTCTTCAGGTACCTCAAAGTTATTCAAAATTTTAGTTAACCATTTCTTTCTTTGATCTTATGCAAAATAGAACCTCAACTACGAGGCTCAGATTAATTACATGCATTTTAATAGTCATGTAATCATTACACCAGCTTGTGATTAAAATCAGTGAATCCATGTGTGGAAAAGAAGAGCTTTATAAGAAGCATAAGAGTAATGGAGTAGATTTTTATTTTCTTGATATAATTTATAGTTTGACATTTAAGTAAGTGATATTGAGGCCGGAAGAAAATAGTTCAGTTTTTCTGAGATGCTCTTTAGTGGTTTCACTGCAGCTTCAGAGGTGCTAAAAGAAGCTTTATTGCCAGCTCTGCTACTGAATCTGAGTTTGTCATTGGCTGTGGTCCCCGTGGTTCACACCACAAAGAGCAAGACAAAATCAGAGAAAATCAGGAATGATTGATGGGAGAAACATACCAGAAAGTTAAATGTGTAGGACAGCTTAGCCAGATACGCCTAAAATTTAAAGAACACTGCATCCAAAAAATTATTATTTGATGAAAGGTTAAGAGAAAAAAAGTGCTTTCACACCTAAGCAATTAACCATTTCTTATTTGAACTTGATAAGAACAAAGAAGATTTTCACACAGCAGAATACTATCCTGTTTTTATCTTATAATATGTACTTTGTGAATTTGAACATGGTAACTTCTGCCCTTGGTCAAGTTCATATCCATGTTCAGTCATTATGTATTATTAAGGGATGTTGTATGCTGTTTACAGTACAGATAGGGAAAGAGTAATTGAGTATTTGTACTGTCATCAAGGAGTATTTAATGTTACACTTTGGTCATTTCTTCCTATCACAAACCAGCAAAATGTTTATAAACCCCCAACCCTTTAGCTTATATTAAAAACACACATCCTGGGCTTCCCTGGTGGCGCAGTGGTTGAGAGTCCGCCTGTCGATGCAGGGGATATGGGTTCGTGCCCCGGTCTGGGAAGATCCCACATGCCGCGGAGCGGCTGGGCCCGTGAGCCACGGCAGCTGAGCCTGCGCATCCGGAGCCTGTGCTCCGCAACGGGAGAGGCCACAACAGTGAGAGGCCCGCGAACCAAAAAAAAAAAAAAAAAAAAAAAAAACACACATCCTTGGAAAAATAAAAGGATACTGGGTTAAATGAGGGTAATACCTGTTGTTTTCCTATACTGAATTCAGTTCATCTTCTGGAACACATATTTTTATTTAGATTTTACATTCTGCCTATTATAGAAAAAAAGGCAATTTAAATAATTAAAGATAAAAATAGGACCTTCAAGCACTTTTACAGCAAAATATATTAATAGGGGCAGAGAAATTAATGCTACTTTACATTTAAAATGAAGTGACTGCTACAGTTGAAAAGGAGTTCTACGTTTATTTTCCTGGCAAATAATCAAAAATAGAACTGTTGAGTTTTATAATAATTGTAGTTTGATACACAAAAGGATGTAAGTTCATCTAGAGAAAGATTTGTTTTTCCTGATCACTGTTAAAAGAATGAGTGTATTATGTGCTTCCTTATTTAAGACATTGAATATTTAGAGTTATTTAAGAGATAGATAACATGATGAACATTATCTATCTTTAATTATAGTTTTGCAAGATGCAAAAGTACCAATAAGGTGAATATCCCTTAAGTCGATGTTCTATTTTTTTTTTTTTTTTAAAGAGGGGAACATCAATTCAGTATTAACTCAGTAAAGACATTGGGTTTTGTGCAAAGGGGAAAACATTCTCTTTTTCCTGATTATATAAAAACAGAGAATAAGAGCTTAGTGGATCTAATGAAATGAAAGAGTGGCTCATATATTCCACCATCTCTCTCAGATTTCAAATGGTTCGAGAATACTCAAGTGTTAGAATTCAAATAATTTATCGTTGTCCAAAATGCCAATTTTTCTCTTACTTTAATTAAAGAAGGACACCAGAGCTTCCCTGGTGGCACAGTGGTTGAGAGTCCGCCTGCCAATGCAGGGGACATGGGTTCAAGCCCTGGTCCGGGAAGTTCCCACATGCCGCGGAGCAACTAAGCCCATGCGCCACAGCTACTGAAGCCCCCGTGCCACGACCACTGAAGCCCGCCTGCCTAGAGCCTGTGCTCTGCAACACGAGAAGCCACCGCAATGAGAAGCCCGCGCACTGCAACGAAGAGTAGCCCTCGCTCGCCGCAACTAGAAAAAGCCCGCATGCAGTGGCGAAGACCCAAGGCAGCCAAAAAAAAAGAAAAAGAAAAAAATTCAGAGAAAATAAAAGGACACCAGATTCCAGGAGGTAGAAACTCCATTCAATAATTAGAACTGGGGGCTTCTCTGGTGGCGCAGTGGTTGAGAGTCCGCCTGCCGATGCAGGGGACACGGGCCGGTCCGGGAAGATCCCACATGCCGCGGAGCAGCTGGGACCGTGAGCCATGGCCGCTGAGCCTGTGCGTCCGGAGCCTGTGCTCCGCAACGGGAGAGGCCACAACAGTGAGAGGCCCACGTACGGCAACAACAACAACAGCTTAGAATGGAAACATCTGGCATCTTCTTTCTTAGATGGTTCACAGGTCCTCATTCTCCCTAACAGCTCACAGAGCTGTGTTACTGTCCCTCACCCTGCAGGGGCAGTTTGAAAGGTGACTCTATGAAGAGGGTACACAGATGGTCTGTGGACTGGGAGACACGGCACGTTTGCAGGCAGTAGCACCACAGTGAATTCACAGAGCTAAGTGCAAAGGTACATTCTGTGTACTTTACCCTTCAACAGCAGATTGAAGAGTCTTCCCCAGGGAATCTGACCAAGCCACGTGAACGGCCTAATGATACAGACGTGGGAGAGTCTCCAGGTCAATGATCTAGTCAGGGAGCCATGAAACTCACACTAAAAACACCCCACCCAGAGCTTTTAATCAATTTATTAGCCCTATACTCTTAATATAAGAAGACAACTCAAAATTCCCTATTTCAGGGAATAGAATGAAATAGAGATACCAAAATAAACAAACAGAAAGAAAAAACTGAACTTGTGAGAAAGATCACTGAGGGAAAAGAAAATATAAAACATAAAATATAATAAAGACTTCTACTCCTGTTTACCCAAGAGAAATGAAAATATATCCATACAAGGACTTGCACATGAATGTTCTCAGCAGCATTATTCATAATAGCCAAAAATTAGAAACAACCTAAAAGTCCTTCAGCTAGCGAACAGATAGTCAAAACGTGGTGTAGCCGTACAATGGAGCACCATTTAGCAATAAAAGGAAACAAAATGCTTATATGTGTTGTGACTTGGATAAACCTCAAAAACATTATGTCAAGTGAGAGAATAGACTCAAGGGACCACATATTGTATAATTCCACATATTGTATAATTCCAAAAAAGGTGAATGTATGCGGACAGAAAGTAGGTTAGTGATTGCCTAAGACAGGGTGAGGTGGAGGGAATGGAGAGTAACAGTTAATGAACATGATGGGACTTACTGGGGTGATGGAAATATTCTAAAATCTTTTTATGGTGTTTGTTGTACAACTCGGTAAATTTACTAAAATATCCTTGAATTTTACACTTGAAGTGGGTGAATTACAGGATATGTCAAATATGTATTAGGGAAGTTCTATATTGAAAAGCTGTAATTAATATTATTAGAAAGATAAGATATTATAAGGATAAAAGATGGATAGGAAGCTGTATTTTTAAAGGAACATTTAGAATAAAAAAGAACTCTTGGGGATTGATAGTACGTGAGCAGAAGTGAAAAAGTTTGTACCATAAAGCTGAGGAAGCCACCAAGAAACTAGAGCAAAAATTCAAACATGGAAAATAGTAAAGATAAGATAAAATTAGAGAACTAGTCCAGGAGGTCTAAGAGTCTAAGATCTGAATTTTAAGACTTCCCTAAAGAGGAAATGAAAGCAAATTGAAGAAATATCAGTTTAATAACTTAATAATAATCCTAGAACAGAACATGTTCCAAATGGGAAGGGTCACCAGAGGCCCACCACAGTGAATAAAATAGGCTCACACTAAGGCACAGCATCATAAAATTTCAGAACCCTGAAGGAAACGAGAAGATCTTAAAAGAGATGGGAGAGAAAACCAAAGGGTAGGTCACATTCAAAGTATTTCTTTGGATTTCTCAACCAGCAACACTACAAGCCAAAAGACAATGGAACAATGCCCTCGAGAGTTTGAGGGAATATTATTTCCAGAGTAGAATTCCATATTCAGACAAAACTACCAAACTTGTGTTAGGGTAAGATTAATCATATTTCAAAATTTTCTCCAAACATATGCTCCCATGCCTGCTCTCTAAGGAAATTACTTCCACCAAAATGAATGAGTAAACTGAGGAAGTAATCATGTATGCAAAGAAACCAGGCATTTTATGGAAACCTGGCAACAAGTATGAGGCCAAGGCAAAAGTCAAGAAGGTGATGAAAGGACCACCAGGCAAGAAGTGCAACCTGGAGCAGGTCAGAAAGCTTCAGAAAATTTTTCTTCTGGAAAATGGAAGCCGTAGGATACATGATGCATCTCACTGTCTTAAAGAAAGATTAGACAATTGCCAAAGAGTTCAGGGTGGATTACCAAGTACAAATCTAATGAAGCAGTTAATAAAATTAATTAATTAACTCTAGGAATACAATATCACCAACATCAAAAAAGTATGCAGGCAATGAATAGTAACCACATTTCCCATGTATTTCACCTGTAAATTGTAGTCATAATATGCCCTGAATTTTGATCTAACCAAAATTATACTTCAACCATTTTGAAATGATGGGATATGGCAATGGTGGGTGGAAAAGATAGTTACTCTCTCTTCTTCCAGAGTGAGAAGTCAATAGATAAAAATAGAAACTGACAAAAAAAATTAAGAAATGACAGTCAAGCATGTTATATAGAGACACAAAGATAAGGACCTACATGTCTAGCTAAAAGAGGTAAAAGCAGCTGGGTCCTACCAGAGGAAAATAGAAGAGATCATGGTGGGAGCTGCTATTTTTCAAAACTGACCGTAACATTTTCTGACTATTTAAACTATGTATGTATAACTAATAAAAACAACTAATACATTTCCAGCTGTAAACTTTCATTTTCAGACTCATTGATCCTTTCTTCAGTTTATGCTTTTAAATATCCAATTCTATTCTATTCAATTCTATTCAAAATATATGAAATATTTTAAATTTAATGCCAACATTTCATATAAGAATGTAGGAGGGATAAACTAATATAAAAAATCTAGGTCTTGCTTCCTTGTTTTTTCATGGAGTTGAAAAAAAATACATTTTAAAGGCAGATGCAGGTTTTCATGCCACATCGTTTCCTAATCTGACTTCAATATCTTCCCATATTTGGTGTATAGAGAAAAAAGTTAAATTATGTCACTGCTTTGGCTGTGGGAGGAGGGGAAGCACCAAATCCTTTTGCAGATGTCTTTTCAAAGACACGGGATGATAAAAAAATACACATAGTTAAAATCATGAAATTTATAAAAGCCCTGGCACACTTACTCAGTTTTTTCCTTGTGGGCTATAAATTGGTGGAAGGAGGATTCATACAAACATACAGTGGGAGTGCGTACAGGGACTGGAAAATCAGTCCTTGGAGAGTAGGGTACAGCTGGGTCAGCCCCTTTTCACCTAATTGTACAACACCAAGCTGGAATAGACCACTCTCTACATGTCTATTTCCGGGAAGTTTTACAAATACCATACTTTTCTGGTTCAAAAAGTAAATAGAGACTCAACAAGGACTCGTGCTTCTCTTGGGGACAAAGGAGAACAGTATTTCTGTCCACAATATTTTCTCCATAATTCTCAAATTCAGAAAGCTTACTAAACTGATTTGGTGGCAAAACCTCACTTTAACTGTTCTGAGATTTTTCATAATACTTACTTATTCCCCTTAAAATGAATATTCATGTTTTTCATTACAGAAGTGTTTTTATTATAAAATGCTACCCAAGACCCTCTGAAGGTATTACCTACTATTCAGTATATGATACTTCCCAAAATCTGAAAACTTCTGAATTAATAAAAATATTTATTCTCATTTTTTGGTAAGAAAATGTGAAACTGTATTTGCCTTCAGTTTTCCAGTGTAGTGAAAATCACATTTTCTTTAAGTGAACCATAACCAGTGAAGATTTTACTAGAAATTAGAAAGAGGTCATTTTAAAGCATATTAAAATACCAACAGCTTTACAGTATAACCAATAAATTTGTGGAGTATGTTACTCTGTTGTTCACCTTCATCATCAATAAATCCTATATTTTAAAAAAATGTGCATAGGTAATAGTCAACCATCTACCAACCATTAACTTTTTACAATTAAATTGGATGCACATATCTTCGAATTATGGTTTTCTCCAGATGTATCCCCAGGAGTGGGATTGCTGGGTCATATGGTAGCTCTATTTTTAGTTTTTAAGGAATCTCTATACTGTTCTCCATAGTGGCTGCACCAATTTACATTCCCACCAACAGTAAGGGAGGGTTCCCTTAAATTGGAAAGTAATATTTTAAATATATTATTAAGATTAAAGTTGTCGGGCTCCCGTGGTGGCGCAGTGGTTGAGAGTCCGCCTGCCGATGCAGGGGACACGGGTTCGTGCCCCGGTCCGGGAAGATCCCACGTGCCGCGGAGCAGCTGGGCCCGTGAGCCATGGCCGTTGAGCCTGCGCGTTCGGAGCCTGTGCTCCACAACGGGAGAGGCCACAACAGTGAGAGGTCCGCATATGGCAAAAAAAAACCCCAAAAACAAAGTTTTCATTTTATAAAATTACATTAATACAATGATTTTAGTAAGGATTTAGATAAAATAGTTTTGAAACTCAAGCTGCCCATTCTCTGCATTTATTCACTCACTCATTGGGCCAATTGTTAAGAATCTGCAGACAACTAATTTCAAGGAGCCTATATTCATATATTTATTATGCATTTTTTATATTTGTAACAATAGTGAGAATGCTAGATAATGGGTTAGACTTGAGTTATATTACACCAAAGAATATAATTGAAAATTTCACTTCTACCTTTTGAGGAATGAAAATATTATTCCTAAGAAAAAGATAGCATGATTTTTATAACCCCTAAATATTTAGGGTTTATGTGTTGACTGGGCAGATCAATTTTTTTCCTCTATAGCCTATGTGATAACTAAATCTATTTCTATAACGTTACTTAAATGTATACATAGAGGTGAAAAAACAATCTTATTATAAGGTCTAAAGTTTTTAAAATAGTACAGCTATTAATACCAATAGTGATTATTGAATATCAATGATTATGTCAATATCCTCTCATGAATATAGTACTTTCATAAGCTCTTATCAATTGTTTTATTTTCTATTAGCACCGCATTAACTTTCTATCAAATCTTAGACGATTTTAGAAAAAAAAAATCTAACAAGAACAACTTTCTAGCAAATTTTTAAAATATTACCTTATTATTTACCTAATTGTATTCAAAAGTGCTATGATAAATAATCAAACACATAATTAGATGATGTGTTCTGTGGTATCTGTCATATATTGTCCTGTTACTGATTGGTTTGTGTATGTATTGTCTAGTCATTGTTTAAACTGTATTTTGTGTGTTTCTTTTTCCCTCGCTTTGTGTCAGTGTCGAGAAATAGCATCACAAGTAAGTATTTTGTTTGTCTCCCTTTCCTCAAATTGTCTAATGTATTAATTCAGTTATTAAATGAAAAGAATATTAAAGATTGAATTCAATATTTCAGATTTTAAAAGAAAACAAGTAAGGTGAAATGCTTTTAAATGCTCTATTTTCAAGTTAGTGTATTTATATTTCCCTAATATTCCAAATCTTACCTGTTTGTCTTCAAATTATGTTTATGTATTAATCCAATCACATATTTTACTGTGTGGTGTCATTACCAGCTAGTCACTTACTGGCTGTAGATTGTCCTCAAGGGAGGTGCCACCTTCAATGCAATCAGCTGGTACTGAAAGGGAATGGGGGTCTTGATATAAAACATACCTTTAGTTTGCTTCTTATGTAGGCTGGACCCCCTAGAAATGGTTATGGGAACAATAGGACCTGTGATGGATTCCTCTGGGACACTTTCTAATGCTGAATTTATTCTTTAATAGCTTTAATTTATTGTCATGAAGAAGCCATCACTTTAATGTTTGATAATATTAACCTGTGATAATCATTGATTTACTACAATAAAAAAATTCTTAATAATACATTATGTATGTTTACATACACTTCTTATATTCCTGAACCCTTGATGTTATCTTCATGTGATTTGCATTTTTTAATTTTATTTTCCATTTTCTTCATCTAAATCACGATAAATAATTGTCATTATGGCCTTAGTACTTAACACAAACTCCCAAGCATTAAATAGAGTTAAAGAAACTATTACAAATATAAACATTTTCAACTTTAAAAATTGCATTTTGAATGTCAAAGCAGTGGTACCATTCAGCCCACTGGGAGAACACAGTCACAAGTGTAAAAGTTGTGTGCCAAAATTACCAACCAAAGGTACGAGTCTACTTTTGAGCTTGTTGAATTTTGGAGAGAAGTGCTATATTATCATAATACCCAACATTTTGACACAGTGACTGTTGTTTTCTCTACATCAGAGATTTGAATCCATGTAATAAATGCAAATTATGTTTATTAAATTATTTTGAGCATCCTAAATTATTTAAGGTTTAATAATCTCTAGCTTTATTATATTTTTAAATATTCTAATTTTGTTTTCCCATATATGTATTCCTTTGGAATTTACTAAATATTTACTAAGGAGGCTTCACTTTGGGACGTAAGAAAAATGTTTTAGATGCTTTCTGACCTTTTTCACGTGATGGTACATAGAAAATAGGAACGTTTGTTTAGCATGAAGCTGCTCAGGGCGTCCAGCTACCACCACAGGTGGTGCAAATTAAAGTTCTAGTTCAATGCAGAACACAGCTCTGGCACATGCAAGGTTTGGGGAGCTCGTCTTAGGGTTCTTACAGTTGCTTTATTAGAATATGTTTTGTAGTTCTTTGAGCTCAAATGAGATCAAACATATATTTCTAAAATTTTAAATTTATACCAGCATTTGACCTGACCTGATTCACAAATAAAATTTAATTTTATTTATAATGAACTGGCAGACATTATTTTAGGAAATATTTTAGGAACATGTCACAGGCCAAGTTGCTTCACTTTGCCTCTACTGAAGGCTTTCTAAGGTGTGAGTCCAGATCTGCTCCATGGTGGTAGAAACACTAGTTAGTGGTCACACCATGTCCCAGTAAGAACAAAGTTTTCATCTGTGAAAAAACTTTATAGCTTCATGTTTGAAAGTAAAGTTAATTTTTTAAATGTACGTTTTGGCTCTATTGTAGTTTTCCATGTTGATTCTAAGTGTTGTTCTTCACTTTTTATTCAGATGCCAAGCTTCACTATCTCCTCTTTTCTCTAACTTACCATTTCAGATGCAGAAAATCAAAGGTTTGGCTCATTTCTGACTTTTCGTAGCCAATTACAAGTTGACTCATAACTTTTTTCCTCTGATTGCTTTCTTTCTCATGGTTACTATTCGCGGTCTCAAAATCCTCCAGTCAATTCCCTATATAAATAAAGTGTCTTCCCTTTAATTTGCTGGGAAGTTTGAGTCTTCCAATATAAGTATCCTTCTCACAATCCTTTTTATGAAGAAAAAGCTCTAATTGTACTTTAGATATTAAAATATGCTTATCCTTGTAATTCCAGTTTTTTCTTATACAGTTTCCGTCCTTTCCACCTCTAGTTTTGTTTTGTTTTGGTTTTTTCTCTCTCCCTTCAAATATGTTCAGGTTTCCCCAAATCTCAAGAAATTTTTCTTCTTTTTTTCTGTTTTTTCTTATTTTACTCTTGCTGTTAAACTCTCAGAAGACTTCATACATGCTGTCCATTCTATTCCTTATCTCCCAGTTTTTCCCCCACTACTTTATCAATACTGTTCTTCAATTATTAAAAATCTCTTTTAGCCAAAATCATTGGCCTTTTAAATTAGTTGTAATTTGTTTAAGCACTGTAGAACCTTTAACAGGGTTCATTATCTCTTCCATCTTAAAATTCTCTTATCCTTAGTTTTCATATCATGAATTACTCCTATTTTCCCTGTTTGCACTGGTTTATTTCTTTTCCCCCTTTTTTGCTTTTCAGTTTCTGCCTATAACAGCTCATTTTAGATGCTGCTACTGTGATCTTCCATCTGAAGGTTCATCTAATCTCCTGTCGCTGGATTGGCTCTAGAACGCAGGACCCCAAGGAGAGGCAGCGATCACCTTCGCCTCCTACCCTGGGATGGGGCTTCATCTTTAGATTCCAGAAAGTACTTCATTATCTACCTAAGGGTGGGCTAAAGTTCACTGCAGGTCATCTCTCCCAGAGCATTAATCTCGATCCCTGAACAATGCTAAGTGCTTTCTTGTTTTATTTAATCTGCCCAGCAGGCTAATACGGTGGATGATATTATTCCCACTTGTAAATGAGCAGAGACTTAGACACATTAACTTGATAAAATAAAAACTTAGGAAGTAGCAGACCTGGATTTGAACTTTATCACTTTCTGACATCAGAGCCTGTTTTTTTTAATCACTAGGTTTCGCTGTAGGAGCTTCTACCAATTTCTGGCCACCTCTCTCTTTTCCACCATCTGCTTTGAGATCCCAAAGTGCTTTGTTTGGGAATCAACGTGGGAATTGCCACTTGAACCAAAACTGGGGATTTGGAAAAGGCTTTTCCTCTTTTCAACACATGGCTTTGTAGCACTCAATGTATCTTGTGGTTTCAATGATTACTTCGGGGTTGAGGGATGGCAAATTTTTGTTCTCTGCGCTCTCTGTTCTAATTCCTAAACATGAATAACAAACTCATTATCTGCCAGATACTTTCTGTCTTATAATCTTCCAGAATTAGATATTTACTGAGCACCACCAAGGTCCAGATGTTCTCATCTAGGTGCTTGGAATGAGTCAGTAAACATACCAGAAAGATTTCTGAGAAAGTGGACATGAACACTTTATGCCTATTCTTGGATTTAATTACTTCTGGGTGGATTTACGATATCCAAATTCTCTTCCCTTCAGTGTCTTGTGTAATACACACAGATTAACAGTGCCTAATCGTGGATGTTTGATGCCAGTCATACCAAGTCAATTGCTTGTGACCGAATTTTAAGTTCCTATATTCTAGGCATTCCTTATTCTCCTCTGTCCCTGTTCCTGGGAAGATTCATTTATTCAATTCGTTTGTCTGACCGTAAAAGCACTAGACATGGAGCCAGATAATCTATGTTTAACCTTCTTTTACTAGCTGTGTGTGAACTTGGGCAATTCTCAACACATAGCAGAGTGGAGGTTAAGTAGGGAGGTTTATTATTATCACTTCATCAGTTAGAAAAAAGGCAGAAATGTGTTAAGTGAATCGTTCATAGTTAATGGCAAACAATTCTGTGCCAACGTACATAGAGTAACATAGATCTCATCTCATCATTTTTCACTGCTTCTTCGTTTTTGAGTGGATAACACTGCTTCAGAAAATGTCTGTCAATACACTTAAATTTATAAATGAAATAATAGGCAGTATTCCTGTGATTTGGATAAATACCTTGTAATATTATCAAAAGTAAATATATTCACTAACCTCAAGTGCATTCTAATTCATACACACACACACACAGGCGCACACACATACACACACACCATGGGTCTCAGCTCACCTGTAACTTTCTTTCACTTTTCTCTTATAAAAATTTGACTCGAATATTTTTAGTCCATTTTATTATTCTTTTTTATAATATTTCCTAGCTCTACTAATTCTTATCTTATTTTCAATGTCAGGAAAGCATTTCTTACTTGCATTATTTACGTACCTTAACTTAAGACTCTCACTGGCACGGGACTTCTCTGGCGGTCCAGAGGTTAAGACTCTGAGCTTGCACTGCAGGGGGTGGTGTGGGTTCCATCCCTGGTTGGGGAGCTAAGATCCTGCATGCTGTGTGGCTTGGGGGAGGGAGAAAGAGAAAAAACAGTCTCACTGGCACACTTATTAGCAAGAAGCTATTTAAATGCATCCAGTCTATTTGTTTTATTTTAACTACATAGTCATGGCTTTCTGTTCACTTAATATCTTAAACTGCACGACATCATTCTTTCACTTTACCCAGCCACAGGAAGTAAAGTAAGCCTTTAGTCACAACTTCTTGTTGCATGGGTGCTGGAGTCTACAAAATCAGAACTGAATAGAAAGTTATAAGGTTGATCTAAGCCATCTAGGTCTTAATAAGGGAGTGATGATCACTCAGCAACAGTATACTTGGATCAATAATACCGTTTTATATAGATTCTTTACATAAGAATATAAATATTCATATCTACCAAGTCTTATACCATTGAATCTCTTCCTTAGTTAAGACATTACATATATCATAGAAATTTTCTTTCCACAGTCTCATTTATTCCTAACTGTTATATGCTTTAGGGTGGTGGTTCTCAAATGCTGAAAAAGAGAAGAGGACTCTGTGTGTGTGTTGCGTCTGTGTGTGTGTGTGTGTGTGTGTGTGTGTGTGTAAAATGTTTGGGTATGGTGGAATTGATGCTATACTCATATTGAAATCACTATAATAGTTTTTC